AAAAAAAAAAAAAAAAAAAAGAAGAGAAGCCAGAAGTGAGAGACTGGGGAACTGAAAGTGATGGGGTCATAAAAGTGGGTAGAGCCTAGTCAGGGGTCAGGGACTCTGGGTAAATGGATTCAGGGTTCTCAGAACGAGGCGGCCCAGAAGGTCAGGGTCACGGTGTGTGGGGAGCAGGGTCGGGCGCTCGCCGCGTACCGGGCGCGTAGTGGCCATAGGTGGCGTTGCGCAGCTCCTCCCAACCCACACGCCCGTCGCGGTCCGTGTCGTACGTGTCCCAGGCCGCGCTCACCGAGTCCCGTATGTGCCGCTGCTGCGTGTGCGCGATCCACGAGCGAAGCTCGGCCAGCGACACCCAGCCATCGCCGTCCCCCGCGCGGTCCATGCGGTCCACGATCCTCCTGCGAGCCGGGGCGGGCACGTGTCAGTCCCTGGCCACGCCCCAGGCCACGCCCCTCGCATGGGGCCCCGCCCCCGGCACACATCTGGTCCGGGACTGAAAATGCAGTCCACGGTCCGCGGACGAATGGGGAGGGGCGCGTGTCAATTTGGGACCAAGCCCACCGCAGGACCCCTCCCCTCAGCCTAGAATGCACCCCCGGGACGAGTCACGCCCTTCCCGAGAGCCCGCAAGCCGGGATCACTGCAGGGGAGGAACCTACGACGATCAAGGGTCACCCTCTCCGCGCCGGCCCGTCCTCCGCCTGCACGCGCTGCACCTCTCGCTGGGCTGAGCTGGGGTGGGGACAGGGAGCACGGCATCGCACTGAGCCTCTCTCCAGGGAGCCCTATTCCAAGACTGACTCTGGGCCGGGCGCGGTGGCTCAGTCCTGTAATCCCAGCACTTTGGGAGGCCAAAGCGGGCGGATCACAAGGTCAGGAGTTTGAGACCAGCCTGACTAAAATAGTGAAACTCCGTGTTTACTAAAAATACCAAAAAAAAAATTAGCCGGACGTGGTGACAGGCGCCTGTAATCCCAGCTACTCGGGAGGCTGAGGCAGGAGAATCGCTTTAATCTGGGAGGCGGAGGTCGCAGTGAGCCGAGATCCTGCCACTGCACTCCACAGCCACGGCCACAGCCCGCCAACTCAGGGCCGGCCCCGCCCCATACCCTGCCCCAGGCCCCGCCCCATACCCTGCCCCAGGCCCCGCCCCTCCCCAGGCCCCGCCCTCTACCGGGAGTGCGCGTGTCAATTTCAGGCTCCTTTCGCTGCAGCCTTGCCCTGTGCCACGCACTGTGGCTTTCCCCGACCTGCTCCCGGCCGAGTCAGGCACTGCCCGAGGACCGTCACCCGCAACTCGGTCTCCCTCTACCCCTCCCCATGTTCCGCCGGGCTCCAGTGCCCCTCCCCTTGGCTTGTCAAGCCACTTTAGGTTCCATGTCGCCCCTTCTCTTGGGCCACGCCTGTTAGCTCCCTCGCCCCTCTCTCCTCCCTTGGTGGCGCCCTGCCAGGCCCAATCTCTAATTAACAGAGACCACATGGAGCCCTCCTCCCTATCACCGTCCTCAGGCTCCCACGGCCCCCTCCCCAAGTTTGAAAATCGGAGACAGCAGAGCCTTCTCCAGCCTTGCCTGAGTCACCAACCCCACTCCCGCACCAGGCGGTCTCTGCTCGGGTCTTTCAGGGACTGTCTGAAAGACTTTCTGCTCGGGTCTGTCCCTGGACTCACACCCTTCTCTGAGGTTCCTGCTGCTAAGAGTGTGGGTTTCACAGCCAAACAGGTCCAAATCTGACCATTTCTTCTTGCTGGCTGTGTGACTGTGGGCAAGTGACTTAACCTCTCTGTGCCTGTTACCCCTCTGTAAAATGGAGAGAAAATAATCGTACCTACCCCAAAAGGGCGGTTGTGGGGAATAAATGAGTCAGGCTACGTAAGCACTTAGGACAGGCCGGGTACAGTGGCACATGCCTGTAGTCCCAGCACTTTGGGAAGCCGAGATGGGCAGATCACTTGAGATCAGGCATTTCAGAGCAGCCTGGCCAATAAGGTGACACCCCGTCTCTACTAAAAATACAAAAATTAGCCAGGTGTGGTGGTGTGCACCTGAAATCCCAGTTACTCGGGAGGCTGAGGCGGGAAAATTCCTTGAATCCGGGCAGCAGAGGTTGCAGTCAGCTGAGATAGTGCCACTGCACTCCAGCCTGGGTAACAGAGAGAGACTCTGTCTCAAATAATTATAACAATAATAATAATAATAATAGGCTGGGGCCAGGCATGGTGGATTGTAATCCACGCCTAGAATCCCAGAACTTTGGGGGGCCAAGGTGGGCGGATCACCTGAGATCAGGAGTTCAAGAGCAGCCTGGCCAACATGGTGAAACCCAGTCTTTTCTAAAAATACAAAAATTAGCTGGGCACAGTGGTGGGTGCCTCTAATCCCAGCTACGAGGGAGGCTGAGGCAGAAGAATTGCTTAAACCTGGGAGGCAGAGATTGCAGTGAGCCGAGATCGCGCCACTGTGCTCCACCGCGGGTAACAGAGTAAGACCCTGTCTCAAAATAATAATAATAATAATAATAAGGCACTTAGGACAATGCCTGGCATTGCCATTAGTGCTAAGCTAACTGTGCTAACCTATCACTGCCCTTCCTTCTCCATCCCTCCTTCCCCCATGCCCATCCAAGCACAATCTCCCAGCCAGCAGTCCTGGGGCCCACTGCCAGTGTCTCTGCGCTGCTCTGGCCACCATCTTGTCTTGCCTACCCCTGGACTATTGCAATTGCCTCCTCACTGGGCTCCCTGCTTCCTGTTCCGTACAGTTCCCCACACTGCAGCCGGCAGGATTCTCTCAAAACCTGTCAGCTCACGTTCTTCAGTGGCTCTCCTCTCAATCGGAGAAAAGCCTAAATCTTCACTGTGGCCTAAAAGGTTTTGCATTGCATGATCTGACCCCCTTTGCGTGCTCTCTCTCTCTATCTCTCTTTCTCTTTTTGAGACAAGCTGTGGCTCTGTCACTCAGGCTGGAGTGCAGTGGCATAATCTTGGCTCACTGCAGGCCCAAGTGATCCTCCCACCTCAGCCTCCCTAGTATCTGGAACTACAGGTGCATGCCACCATGCAGGGCTAATTTTTGTATTTTTAAATTTTTTTGGTAGAGACAGGGTTTCACTGTGTTGCCCAGGCTGGTCTTGAACTCCTGGGCTCAAGCGATCCTCCAGCCTTGGCCTCCCAAAGTGCTGGGATTACAGACATGAACCACCATGCTCAACCCCTTTGCTCCCTCTCTGCCCTCACCTCCCACTCTCTCCCCTTTCTCACTGAGTTCCAGCCACACGGGCCTCAGAACTGTCACTCAGACACTCCAAGCTCACTCCTGCCTCAGGGCCTTTGCACTGAACTGTTCTGTCTGCTTGGAATGCTATTCCCTCAGAAACCCACATGGCTCAACTACCAAATACCGCCTTTTCATGGAGGCCTTCTCCAACTTCCCTGTTCAAAATTGCAGCTCCAGCTGGGTGAGGTAGCTCACGCCTGTAATCCCAGCACTTTGAGAGGCTGAGGCTGGCAGATCACTTGAGGTCAGGAGTTCGTGACCTGCCTGGCCAAAATGGTGAAACCCCGTCTCTACTAAAAATACAAAAATTAGCTGGCCATGGGCCAGGTGCAGTGGCTCTCTCCTGTAATCCTACCACTTTGGGAGGTTGAGGCGAGTTGTCTGCCTGAGCTCAGAAGTTCGAGACCAGCCTGGGCAACATAGTGAAACCCTGTCTCAACTAAAAATAAAAATAAAAAATAAAAACAATTAGCCAGGCGTGGCGGCATGTGTCTGTAGTCCCAGCTACTTGGGAGGCTGAGGCAGAAGAATTGCCTGAACTCGGGAGAGGTTGCAGTGAGTTGAGATCATGCCACTGCACTCCAGCCCAGGTAACAGAGACTTCATCTCAAAAAAAAAAAAAAAAGAAAGAAAAACAAAATTAGCTGGGCGTGGTGGTGTGCACCGGCAATCCCAGCTACAAGGGAGTCTGAGGCAGAAGAATTGCTTGAACCAGGGAGGCAGAAGTTGCACCAAGCCAAGATTGCATCACTGCACTCCTGCCTGGGCGACAGAGCGAGACTCCATCTCAATAAATAAATAAATCAAATTGCAACTCCCCCACCAATAATCTCTCCCCTCCATACTTTCTGACTCTCTTACTTTATCTCCATTTGATCCACTTTTTACTTACTGCCTTCCTGCTGTTTTCCTCACCACAGTGTAAACTTCAGGGGGACAGAGATTTCTGTCTGTTGTGTTAGCTGTTGTGACTTCAGCACCTTGAGCAGTGCCTGGTACATAGCAGGTGCTCAATAAAGCTTTGTGGGCTGAATAAGCAATGGGGGATGCATAGATGAAGGGGGCTGCTCCTATCGCCCCCTCCCACCCACCGCCCTCAGGCCCTGACCCTCTCACCCTGACAGAGAGGGTGGACAAGGCTCCATTCTAGCCAAGTCACCCTGAAACTCATGGCTCCGCCACTTTCCTGCACTGGCTGGGCTCCTTACATGCCAAACCTCATTTTCCACATCAGTCCCTGCCACTTACAGAGCAGGAAAGGGGAGGGGAGATGTCTGGGACAAAGCAATAAGGAGTGCTTGGGGCAGAATCTAAACCCAGATTTTGCTGCCCTCAAAGGCCCCTTTTTTTTTTTTTTTTTTTTTTGAGATGGAGTTTCGCTCTTGTTGCCCAGGCTGGAGTGCAATGGTGCAACCTCGGTTCACTGTGACCTCTGCCTCTTGAGTTCAAGCGATTCTCCTGTCTCAGCCTCCCAAGTAGCTGGGATTACAGGCATGCGCCACCACGCCAAGCTAATTTTGTATTTTTTAAAGTAGAGATGGGGTTTCTCTATATTGGTCAGGCTGGTCTGGAACTCCCAAGCGCAGGTGATCCGCCCGCCTCTGCCCCCCAAAGTGCTGGGATTACAGGCGTGAACCACCTCGCCTGGCCCTTCAGGCCTAAATTTTAACTTAATTTGTTTTTCCCAGGGAGAAAAGATAGACTTTGATTTCTCATAAAGAACTGAAGTTCAGTTAACGCCATTTCTCTGACCCCTGTCAATCCCCCCGCGCCTCCCTCCCAAGCCCCACCTCTGAACACGCCCCACCCCCGTGTCTCTCCTACCCCAGACGGGCCTGGCTTTCCTCCGGGGTGAGTTGGTCGAATTCCTTGGCCACTTCCCGTCCCAGGAAAGCCTCATGGTCGTACTGGAAGTTCCCGTGGGCGTCATCATGGGGGGCGTCGCTCAGCGGGGCCGCCTGGTGCACCCTCCCCTGGCCATGAGGGCCTGCGTCCGGTGACGGCTTCCCCTGAGCACCGTGCCTCAGTAGCAACAGAAACAGCAGAAGCGATGGTCGCCACATCATTGGTCCCTGGGGAGTGGCACTGGTCAGGGGTCAGGGGTCAGGGGTCAGAGGGATGAGGACAGGCACTGGGCAGGAGGATGGCGGGGTGGAGGGGTTACCAAGGACAGGACCCGGAGATGGAAGTTGGCTGCAAACTTTTGGGCTCAAAAAGGGCGGGCGATGGGGAAAGGAGGGCGGGGTGCTCAGAGGGAAAACCACCTACGAGGAGGACCGAACCTTCTGACAGAGGCTCAGGGGGGTCCCAGGCCTGCGAGAGGGAATTTCTGGGAGAGACGTGGCACACATCCCACGCAAAGCGCAGGGCATGGTTGTGGCCAGCGAGAGGTCAGGCAGGCTCCCCGTGATTGCTCCCAGTGCGGACCCTGATCCTCTACCCGAGCCGCCCCAAGCCGCCGTCCCTGGACAGACGCCCCCCAACCCGGTCCCTTTACCCCGTTATCCAGCTTCGCTCCGCTCTCCACGCTTCGCTTTGCGTTCCCGCAAATATGCCCAATTCAGCCGCTCTCCAGTCAGGCCCCGCCTCTGGCAGCGCAGAGCCCCGCCTCCCAACCAATGAGCTACCACGAGCGCCCCCCAGGAGGCGGGGCCAGTGAGCGCAGGGAGGGCCGTGGGAGCCCCTCGCCACGTCCACAAAGGAAACCGCGGCCTGACCCTGGAAGGTGGGTGGGCGACGCCGCAGTGACGCGGCCGGGGTGAACTACAACTCCCGGCAGGCGTCGCGGCACTCTGCCGTCCAGCTCCAGCTGCTCTAGCCCCAAAGCCTCACGGGAAATGTATTTTTCCGTCTTTCCCTTTGTCAGGATGGTTTAAGATAAAGAGCTGTACTGGCCGGGCGCGGTGGCTCAAGCCTGTAATCCCAGCACTTTGGGAGGCGGAGGCGGGTGGATCACGAGGTCAAGAGATCGAGACCATCCTGGTCAACATGGTGAAACCCCGTCTCTACTAAAAATACAAAAAATTAGCTGGGCATGGTGGAACATGCCAGTAATCCCAGCTACTCAGGAG